GGGAACTACGCGGAGCGGGTCGGTGCCGGCGCCCCGGTGTACCTGGCTGCCGTCCTGGAGTACCTGACGGCTGAGATCCTGGAGCTGGCCGGGAACGCTGCCCGGGACAACAAGAAGACCAGGATCATCCCCCGACACCTGCAGCTGGCTGTCCGCAACGACGAGGAGCTCAACAAGCTGCTGGGAGGAGTGACCATCGCTCAGGGAGGAGTCCTGCCCAACATCCAGGCGGTGCTGCTGCCCAAGAAGACCGAGAAGCCCGCCAAGTCCAAGTAGACCCGACCCCCCACAGACCCACAACGGCTCTTTTCAGAGCCACACACCGCCCTCATCGAGCTCCGTCCTCCACTTCATCTTTGATCAGTTATTGATTTCAGGCGTGATTCTTTAAAATTATAAAACTGAACAACTTTCAGTTGGTGTTATAAATAAAACTTGTTCAAGACTGATTTTGTGAGAACAACTGTTTGATAAACATTTAAGGCTTTATTACGTTATTATTATTACGTTATAGTTTTAATAAACTTGAATAGCTGCTTAAATAATGAGGTGCTGTAGAGCTGAAGCAACATCCCCCGTTCAGAGGCAGAGATGAAAACTTATTTAAAATAACATTTTAAGGGTTTATACAAAACAAAGCTTCTTTTATAGAAATCTTTAAAGTATCAAAATAACTCAAGACGAAGAAATAAGAACCACAAATAAAGATTTCCACACATCAGATGAAGTAAATTAGAATTTATTTTTATAAAAACGTCACAACTTTTCATTGCTTTGATTTTATGTCAACAAAAATTAAATTAAGTCTAAAGATAAAAGCGGTTATTACAACATCTGTCAGTATTTTTCTCTCTCCCGCGTTTTTATTTTAAGTTCAAATCCAGCCAATAGCTGTACGGATTGCGCTCACGTGACTGCAGGTTTTAACCAATCAGAGCGGACTTCCTCCACGGAGGGGTCTTTATAAAGCCGCTGCTCGCGCTCCAGCCTCATTCAGTCTTCAACGCTCAGTGAGAAGAACCCTAAAGTCCAGTCATGGCCAGGACCAAGCAGACCGCCCGTAAATCCACCGGAGGGAAAG